GAAGAGGTCCACCTATCGCAGATGCGGCCAAGGCAGGCCAGGCTCAAACCGTAGAAGCGGCTCCCAAGCCGCAGAAGCGGCCTCAAAACCGCAGAAGTTATCGCAGCCCACTTGGCCGGTTCCGCAGATGCGTCCGATTTCTCGCAGAAGTAGGACCACAGAAGCGGTACCCTAACCGCAGATGCGGAAATCGCTGAAGCAGTGAGCTTCATTTAATACGGGTTCTAAGTCCCTTTTTGCCACTTTTCACCCCTCCATTGGACATTTTGGGAGCTTTTGAGAAGAGACTTCCACCTAGCATCTTGAGGTAAGCTTATCCCACCTATTCTTTTTTTAATACTTGAGTCTTGGCTAGATTAAACACTAGGATTAAGGTAAAAATCATGGGGTTCGAGCAAAGCCTAGGGTTTTGACAAATGTTAGATTTAACCACGAAATTTGTTATAAAATGAATTAGAAATCATATATTATTGATCCTTAGATTATGAAGAACAACTTCCTTCGGAAAATTTCAAAATCCGGGCAAGTGGGCAAGGGGTCGGATTGTAGGAAACTTGTGTTAATGGTTGGGAAATTTTTTAAATAGCTAGAATTCGATCTTATGAGCTTATATTGACTAGTTCCTACCTTATTTAACTAGTTTGGGATCGTTCGGCTCCGAATTGAGGGTTTGGGCTCGTTCTTGGTATTGGAAGTGCACTTTGGAGTGAGGTGAGTCTCCTTTCTAACCTTGTAAGAGGGAATTGTCCCCATAGGTGTAACAATTGAGTAATTTGCTACTAAATGTGGGGGCTACATACGCACTAGGTGACGAGAGTCCGTGCCTAGCTACTATTATGTTAATTGTCCGGGTAGTCTAGGACCCGTATCATGCTATATTTGTGAATGTCTTTATATTTTCTTGCTAATGTGATCACTTAGGATATTCTAGAGACTTTGAAGGGAATATAAGCGAATGTATACACTTGTTGGACACTTGTATGAATTTACTTAGAAATAAATGCGCATTCATGTGTTTTCTTGATATTATTTGATATTTGTGGATCGGGCTGATCGCCTAGGTAGAGATAGATGCATCTATGGTTAGCACCATTTGACCCTCTGGCAGTCCACAGTTTATTTTCTGTTGGATCGGGCCGTCGACCTCGGCATAATGTGCACATGATATAAATGTGAAATCTTATGCATGACTTGTCATGCTAAATACTTGAAATGTAATTGGTTAACTGCAAAAATTGTTCAGTACATGACTTATTATCTCTTGCTACAAACTGTTGATTATTTGTGACTCTCATGCTTAGCATAACGCCTTATTATATTATTTGACCCTAGTAAGTATCAAGTCGACCTCTCGTCTCTAATTTTTCGAGATTAGATGGGATACTTACTGGGTACATATTATTTATATACTCATACTACACTTCTGTACTTAATTGTACAGGATCTGAGGTAGGTACATCTGGTTATCAGTCTGGTACTCTTAGTTCGAGACTTCCACGGTGAGCTGCTCCCTTCCTGTGCCGTTCAGCAGCTTGATGGAGTCTTTCTTTACTTTTGCTGTCTATTCTGCCTCTGACAGTAGGATAGTTTTATTCTTTTGTACCTTCTACTAGTTTCTCATTACTTGTGACACCAGGTCTTGGCATACACATTAGTAGACTATTATTTGGGGGTTGTATAACTATTTTGGCACATTACTGTTCATTCCTGGTTTAACTTTAACTTAATGAATTGTTGCACTTATTTTGGTCAAAGTAAAAAAAATGAGAACTTATTTATATTTCTGCGTTGGCTTGCCTTACAATGGTGTTAGGTGCCATCACGACCTATTATGGAAATGGGTCGTGACAATGGGCTCAGCTCATTTAAGTATTTCATCAAACACTATGTGTGAAACTTAACTACAAGGTTCTTCTACAAGATTTCCTTCATCCTATAACCATTTCAACACCAAGAGTTCACCCATATTAGTTCAATGACCTCCCCACCATCCTTGTTGGTACATGCATGTATAAATAACAACTCACACACCCAAGAATTATAATCCCCATTATCCAACTTTTACCCAAACTCAAAATTGGAGACTAGGGTATGGAACCTTACCTCTTAGATGAAGACCTTGTGAGCTTCTCTTGTGAATTCTTTATGGCTTGGGCAAGGTATTGAAGTGGTAGGTGTTGGAGTTCTTCCCCCTCTCTCTCGTTCACCACCTCACTCTTTAAATATCTGATTAAACAAGTAAAAATAACCCCAAGGTTGTTTTATAGGAAATAGGGTCAGGTTATAAAATTAGAAAATGGACCATCCGAACTCAATTATGCGGCCGTAGAGTGAACCGCAGAACATGTATGTGGTCCATACAATGGACCGAAAATGGTCCTCCAAAATTGGGTTGGTCGTGTCCAATTTGCAACAGATCTACGGTCTGCAAATCAGTTATGTGGTCGTATAATGCGCCGTAGAATCTTCCTCCAAAGTTTTCTCATGTTGATTCTGTGACGGATGTGCGGCCCGCAAAATTGTTATGCGGTCGCATAGTGGACCGCATAGTTACCTCCAAAAATTAGCTTAAGTCCTGTTGCATTCTATGTCCGATCTGCGTCCCGCGAAGAGGTTTTTCGGTCGCATAGTGGGCCGCAGAAACGTCGTGTTCTGTAAAAAAAATCTTCAACTCCGCGACGCACTGTACAACCCAAAAAATCCGTACCACTCCCTCAAACACATTAGCCTACCTCGACACCACGAAACTCTAGGTTCTAGGTGAAATTTTACCGGGCCTTACATCCTCCCCCACTTAGGATCATTCGTCCTCGAATGAGGGTCAAAATCCACTATCGGCATCCAAAGCGATTTGGCTCTTAATTCATATACCAAAAGTTCCAAATTTGACTAACTCCCTAAATTTTCAGAAATTTCGGATGAGTTTCCCCTATAACTGGGTCTGTCCATATGTCAGAGAATTCCAAAAACTAGTCCTAATAGCATAACCACAACACAACGATGTATCACAACATGAAAACAACATCAACCATGACGTCATAAATCTTATATTACCAAAAAGGAGCATCCTTAACGGAAACATAATACATAGAAAGTAAGCTCTTAACATTTCCATAGAACACAACTATATGGTTATTCAGACAAATGAGGATATTTCTTCTTTATCTCTTCCTCGGCCTCCCATGTGGCCTCTTCAACCTGTTGGTTTCGCAGTAACACTTTCACGGAGGCAATATCTTTAGTTCTCAACTTTCGGACTTGCCTATCAAGAATGGCAACTGGAATCTCTTCATAAGCCAATTCTTCACTAACCTTAATAGTCTCAACCGAAACAATGAGTGTCGGGTATCCAACTACCTTCTTTAACATAGACACATGAAACATCGGGTGCACCAATGATATCTCTAGTGGTAGCTCAAGCCTATAATCCACCTGACCAATCCTTTGAATGATTATATACGGTTCGACATACCTCGGACTCAATTTCCCTTTCTTACCAAACCGCATTACACCCTTTATGGGGGAAACATTCAAGAATATCCAGTCATCCCCTTTGAACTCCAAATCCCTTCGACGCACATCTGAATAGGATTTCTGACGACTCTGAGCAGTTTTCAGTCGTTCCTTAATGATCTTAACCTTATCCACAGCCCGATGCACGAGGTCTGGCCCTATCAACTCTGCTTTCCCAATCTCAAACCACCCAATGGGAGATCTACATCTCCTACCATATAGAACCTCGAACAGTGCCATCTTAATGATAACATGATAACTGTTGTTGTAGGCAAATTCTATGAGTGGCAATGATCGTCTCAACTACCCTTGAAGTCAAGAACATAAGCGTGCAACATATCCTCAAACGTATGAATAGTCCGCTCTGCCTGCCCGTCGATCTGTTGATGGAAGGTTGTACGAAGATTCACCTGAGTACCCATACCTTGCTGAAATTTCTTCCAAAAATTAGCTGTGAACTGTGCCCCCGATTAGAGATGATAGAAACTGGAGTGCCATGCAACCTGAATATTTCCCTTATATACAACTAAGCATATTGTTATGTTGTTTCGGTAGCCTTAACATGTAAGAAGTGTGTTGATTTCGTGAGTCAATCCACAATCACCCAAATTGAGTCAAACTTGCGAGGAGTGCGAGGTAGTCCTACCACAAATTCCCTATTGATCATCTCCCACCTCCACATTGGAAGTTCTATGTTATGTGCCAGCCAATCGGGCCTTTGATGTTCGGCCTTCATTTAGTGACAATTTTGAAATCTTGCCACAAAGTCCGCTACATTCCTCTTCATATCATTCTACCAGTAGATCTCCTTAAGATCATGATACATCTTTGTGGAGCCTGGGTGCACTAAATACTTGGAATTGTGAGCCTCAGTCATGATTCTTTCCCGGAGACCATTTACGTTTGGAATACATAATCGCCCTTGGTACCTTAGTGTACCATCACCCGTGCCAAGAGAAAAAGCCGTGGTCTTATATTTAGAATTCCCTCAGGTACCAGAAATTAGGGCTATGGCAACGGTCCCAAAACCGTTCCAATAGATAAGGAAACCGTTTCCATTAATCTATTGCAACGATACAGTGACCGTCACATCCGCTCTTGTGCCAATAGAACTACTGCAACGGTTATTTGCAACGGTCACACAATTGTTGCATTAGATAGGTCTATTGTAACGATTTTCCACTTATCTATTGTAATGCTTATTTTAGCCAAATGGGACGGTTATTAACCGTTGAAATAGCATTTGATACAACAGTTAGTATGGCTATTGCAACGGTTTTAGGATGCTATAGTAACAGTTTTGTTTCTATTGCAACGGTTTTATTAGGCTGTAGCAACAGTTAAAATGCTATTGCAACGGTTCATGGAACCTATTGCAAACAATACACCCTTTTATTTGGCTAAAAATACTTGTGATATTATATAATAAAGCGTCATACAAGATAATTATTATAAATCTCTAAAGAGAATTATTCATAAACAAATAATGATCCAAAATATCAAAATTATAATACCATTAAATCAAAATATACAATATTGTTCTCCGATTCAAGATTTAGCACATAACTTTGTATAATATATATGAAAATAAAAGATTCCTAAAACATTTGAAATTTCAGCAACAATCAACCAATACTCTTATGTAAAGTCTTCGCTGGTTTCATCTACCCTTTATTCATTTACTCCATCTACAAAAGATGATAAATAAAAAATTTTAACATTCAAGTCCTAGTTGGAAATACCATCATCAGTTACCTAGCAAATTTGAAGCTCATGAAAGGTGATACGAAGTGCAGATTTGGTTGCTTTTCAAGAGAAGACCCAAAGCTAAAGTTGACATTAACAACTAATTGTTAGTTTAGACATTAAAAGTAACTCAACCATGCTTGTGAGAAATACCATAAGAAAATAAACTAAACTTGAGAAATACTATAATGAACAACACGCAGGTGAAATCCCTCAAACAGCTTGCTAGAATCAAATTCATAAGTTAGGATTATAATTTGTCAAAGTAAGTTTATTTTTAAATATTTCAAATCTAGCTATTTAAGCAACTATGCAATAGAATATTCGACGAAGATGCTAACTACAATAAGTGAAACAAACTTGATTGTTATCTAAAAAATATTTATAGTTATAGCTATTCAAATTGACAGAAATTTCAAGTTTGAGATATGCATAGAAGATCTACATAACAAAAGAGACCCATACAACATCAAGCCACTAAAAAGCCAAGCCTAAGTAATAAGAAGAGCTAAATGATATAAAACATAAATAGAACAAGGTAATACATAAGCAACAAACATAAAACACCAAACTGATGAGACAACTTACGATATATCAAGGATTAGCCAGCATGAGAAATGAACTTCGATAATAAGAGATTATTGTGCCTGAACATGAAAAGTCAATGAGTTGGTGAGGCTAGATTACAAGGGGTTTAACGAAAGTCAAATGCTACTTCAACCTGTTTCAATGCTAACACCAGAGGGGTTTGATGGATGATAAAGTGCTTTGGAGTTTTTTTAGCTCTATCTTAACATTCCTAGCTAGACTGATCTCATATACAGCTATTAAAGAAACTTTTGCCAAAATTCTTTCAATGATATTTAACAAGAAAGATTCTGCCATGAATGATAAGATCAAGACTTGCCTTCTCGGAGTCAACATCCCTTTGGAAAGTGGTGCAAGTATTGATAAAGGATCGTGGCACCAAAAGCTAGTAAAGCCAACATTTTGGACCTACTATTGTATTTTTGCAACTACACACTTCCCTGAAATAAGAAAGCTTGAACGTGATATAAGAATAATAAAAAACAATTCTTGATTGATCAATCTAATGATAGGAGACTATCTAGTAGCTCAATATATAAAATGAAATGGATGAATAATATCTATAGAAACTTTATCAACCAAATATGGAAAAAAAATGCGCATCTTCTTTTTTCTTTTACAAATCAAGTATCATAAAAAAGAACCTTCTTTTAATTGCTACAACCATTGAGCGTAGGTTTAATAGAATCATTATAATCTGTTACTCCTTTTATCAAAACAGCATACTGATCCTTTGAGTGTCATCTACTACAAGGATAAAAGGGAACAAATCAATGTAGTAAATCTCAGCTAATTGGTTATCTAAAATATCAAAAGAAAATACTTAAATAAATACACACAAACACTAGTGACAGATCCAACAATAGGGTCGTGGGTTCAGAAGAACCCGTGCTTCAACGTATATGAACAAAGAGCCCTTGGTAAGAAAACTACATATATGAACAAACTAATGATTTATCTATGAACCCTTAACGATATCTAAACAGGATTCTAGTAAATTATTGAAAAACTAATAATTTAAAGCTAGAGCTATATATTTCTCAACCCCCAAGCACAATGATAGCCCAATAATTAAAGTTGAGCCTCTTATAAATAGGGATAGCAAATGGTGAACACTTAATATTTCTACATGGTGGGCTATGCTTGATCCCAAGACCAAGAAGCTATTATTTGATTTGCTTATAAATATTATGAAATATCAGGATTGCAGTCAAAATTGTTTAATAACTAACAAAACTTCATATTATTTGTCTTGTATTATTGTACTCAAGCACTACAATCAAATAACAAAGACCCCAAATATGCCTCATGAATAAATCCAACTTAAGCGTACATATAGATACACGGTTTCGAGCAGGAAACTATATGATATGCCATAAATGTATTATTAAACTAAAAGAAATTCTAATATCTTATACCATCAAGTTGGGGAGCAAACAAAGCTCTTTGTTGCAATGATGTAAAGAAGGGCAGCAAAATTGACTTTTAAGGATAAGTATTGATGAAAGTCAAATCAAACAAACTTTCACTTATTAATAGCCAATCAAATAGGATACAGAAAAAATCTACGAGAAATCATTAAATATTAAGCAACAATATCAAATTGAAAGAAATTGACGGATTTACCTCAAATAGGATTGGTAGGATTCTTTTTTTCATTTATATGATTGAAGCAATTCCTAACATCTGACGAACAAAATCAGAAGAAATACACTTAACAAATAAGCACATGAACCTTATAACAACAAAACCTCTAATTGAGTTGGGCGTGCTATCACTGCAAACTTTATCTTTCGTATGAAACTAAGAACTTGATAGAAATATATTTCTTCACCTAAAACTAAACACTAGCAGGAATGCAGTATCTAAAGGCTCATTATAGCTCTAACAATGGAAGAAAAATAAATATTTAAATGTACCGATAAAAAAAATATAATCCCTAACTTAGACCTTCGTATGTATAAAGCCATAGACAACATCTCATAAGCACTAGTAAGACGTAAAGTCCAACATATTTGAGTTGTCAAATACTTTATACATTTATTACAATTCTTTCTAGTAACTCATGTAAAAGTTTGATCTTTATGATATTAAATTTTTTTAGAAAATAAAATCAGGTGTAACAATATCTATTAGTGTCATGAAGATTCACAAACAATCCAGTTGATATATTTCTTCAAAGAGCTCATAAACTAAAGCAAAACGCTTTAGCAGAAAATTAATTTAGAACTAACTAATAAGTGAAATGGACAAAGCAATAGATCAAAGTCACTAATTGACACGACCTGGATTTCCAACCCTCGGGTCGTGATGGCGCCTACTAATAGGAGCTAGGCAAGCCAACTTAAATTACCTTCCATTTAATACATATTCTTTTCCATAATTATCAACATGTAATAAAGGCAACATAATAAAAAATTTCAAGCAGAAGTCTTAACTTATATAAAACTGAATAGAAATGCAGAAAGTTTAACATAATCCTCTATCCAAGATTGGTGTCACAATGCTCACGAACTTCTAAGATTTACTAAATACAATCGTCTGAAAGAAAATTATAAACTGTTTATTTCGGTACAAAAGACAACAAACTGAATAAAGAGAGAGAGACTCCGGGCCTGCGGACGTCAGCAAGGCTACCTCGGTGTCTCTGAACTGAAGTCAGCTCCCGATCAAATCCTACTGCCGAGGTCCAAAAGCTGCTCCTGGATCTGTTCAAAAAGATGCACAGAGTGTAGCATTAGCACAACCGACCCCATGTCCTAGTAAGTGTCTGGCCTAACCCCGACGAAGTAGTGACGAGGCTAGGCAGGACCTACCAAAAACAACCTGTGTAGATATATACAATAAAAGGAAATATACAGAATTTAAATCGCTAAGAAGGGGGAGCATGCTATGGGGAGCTAACAGTTTCAAATAGAAATCCTCAATAACAGAAAGAAGTAACAAAGCCAGAATGTCAACAAGAATCAAAAATCAACAATTTGTACGGCATCACCCTTCGTGCTTTTACTCTCGTCCTCACCAAAACAATACACGGCATCACCCTTCGTGCTTTACGCTCTTCCTCACCCAAACAACAATCACAAGGCAAATAGGGTAAGGAAATCTATAACCTCGAAGTAAATCAAATAAGAACAAGTAATGAAAGAAACAACATAACTCGGATATCAACAAAGAATCAGAAAGCAACAAATACACGGCATCACCCTTCGTGTTTTACGCTCTCGTCCTCACCAAAGCAATCATATAAATGAAATATGCACAGCATCACCCTTAGTGTTTTTACTCTCTTTCCTCACCATATAATCAATAAAATCGGCACGGAATGGTACATCGTGCGGCACGGCATCACCCTTCGTGCTTTACACTCTTTCCTCACAATAGCAAACAATGCACGGCATCACCCTCCGTGCTTTATCACTCTTCCTCACCCAAGAAACAATCACAAACAAGGGGCAAGGGAGTAGACAAATAATGATATAAATCCCGACAATGGAATACAAATAAACAACGAACTCCCGGCAAGGGAGCACAATTAAGTAGTTAAAAACCTGGCAAGGGAACAATATCAATAATCTTAGCATCCCGGCAAGGGAGATAGTCAACAAAGCAACAAGCATCCCAGCAAGGGAGCAATTCAATAATTCTTTCTCTTTCTTTAACTTTTACCTCTTATTTCACTTTACCACCTGAGCCAACACTCCAAAGGAGTTCAATCATTTCATATACTTTCACGCTTTATGATATACTCGAGCCAATGCTCCAAGAATATACAAATCATAATTCTTCCTCAAACTCTTCACATTATATGAAATTTATCAATTTAACAAGGAAGAGGTATCACAAAATTCGAATAAACACAAATAAGACTCACGGTCATGCTAGACTCCGGTGTATAGATACTAGTCACCATGCCTATACACCGTACTCAACAATTAGCAAATAGCAAACAACACTCTAATCCTATTCCCTCAAGCCACAATTAGAACAAACACTTACCTCGGTCCAAAGAATAGCAATCAACCCTCAAATACCACCTTTCCTTTATAATCCGACTCTGAAACAACGATATCTAGGTATAATTAATTCAATAATATCAATAAGGACTCGATAACAAAATCACATAGCTTAGATATGAAGTTCCTAGCATTCTTCCAAAAATACCAAAATTTGACCTCGGGCCCACATGGTCCAAACACGAGGCTCGGACCAAAACCCGATTACCCATAACCCCACGAGTTCAAATATATAATTTATTTTAAAATCCGACCCCAAATTGAGGTTGAATGACTCAAAATTCCCAAAAACCTAACTCTACCCAAAACCCCTAATTTCTACTTTGATTTCATGATTTAGGTTTAGAATTTCAGTAATAAATGAAGAAGAGTGAAGGAAATAGGTGGGAAATTACTTACCCAAAAGACTTTGATGAAGAAGAGCTTCAAAATAATCGCCCCTAAAGCTTGGAGATGACAAGTTTTATGACAAATGGTAGAACTCCCATAATGGGTCTGTTTTGGACTTTTAAAATAACTGGGCGGAATTGCCCTATGCGATCGCTGGAAAGGGAATGCGATTTCATAGGGGAAGGTAGGTTGGTCACTGCGATCGCGGGATGACGAGTGCGATCGCATAGAGGCTCAAAGCGGGGCTGGGCCTTTTGTAAATTGCGATCGCAGAAGGGAGTGTGCGATCGCATAGAATGAGTTTGCAGAGGTACGCGATCGCATGGCCTATAACGCGATCGCATAGAACAAAACTGGGCGACTCCAAAATAACTCTACGCGATCGCAGACATACCTATGCGATCGCATAGAAGAAAATGACTGGGCACTGACTGCAGAAATTCTGCAACACTTCCTAAGGCCAAAAACACCCTGAACCGCCTCCGAATCACTCTCGAGCCCTCGGGGCTCCTAACCAAACACACACACTAACTCAATAACATCCTACGAACTTACTCGAGCGACCAAATCGCCAAAATAACATCAAAATCAATGAATCGAGCCTCAAAATCATCATTTTTTATCAAACTTCATAAACTTTCAAACTTAGAGTTTTA